AATACAACCAAAAAAGAAGTATTGCAGAAGAACCACATTTAGTTCCCTAAAGAGACTTTTTGAGGAGGCATTTTATCAATGCAATGTGTGAATGTAGAAGAACCTTTTTAACGTTTTTAAAAGATTCTGTAGCACTTACAGCAAAACTAGTTTGCTAGAATCACATGTTCAAGACTCATTTAGGAACCGTTTAAGAGTGGCAACCCTGGCTAGTAGCCAAAATAAAACATCAAACAAATACTGCATTCAAAACAACATCAAATATTACATTATGTGGCTGATCTACAGTCTCCGATCAGTACCTCTGCCCGTGTTTCCTTTTGTTTTTCTTCTTTCTAGCCGTGCTTCTGGAGCTGAGAGACTGAAGCGAAGGGAAAGGGCTGGAACAGTTTGTGTCTGATGTGTGGCTATAGGGTCCTGGCAGACTGTTTCCATAAATGTATCTCATATGGCGGGGGGCTGCTGTAAAGGCACGGCTGGCCGGGGGTGAAACGGTTAAAAAATTGACATCGGGTGGCGAGGAGCTGTGGTTGGTCTCAAATCTTTTTAGTGTGCCATGGTGGACAAGTTCTCCCACAATTTGCCCCAGAGCACTCCCCTACTCTGTCCTGAGAGAAAAAAGAGAGAAAGAGCGAGGGGGGGTTGGGGGGGGTCTGTGTTCAACCCAAAGAATGTCCTTTGAGATGCACATGCTCCTTCTTTTTACACCCACTGAGTGCTTTGTTCCCCCTCTTCACATTTGCACTGATTTGGGTTGCAGGAGGAAAAAAAAGCTGAAAAAAATAATCACTCAGACAAATGCAGGACCACTCAGCCCCCTGTTAAACAGACACTGCAGCCGGCTTCTCTTCACGCCTCTGCTGCTCTTCCTCTGACTGATGGAAGCAGAATGATTCATAGTTTTGTCACTTTGAAGTGAAACGCACTGTTTTTGCCCGAGTCACTGTGCTTTATACTGAAGGTGTAATGGATCTTGGTGCTCGTGCTTTTCCACACTCGCGCTGCAGCCTATGCCTATTGATTGGACTCGTTTCACGCGCTCGCGCTCGCGACGCCGCTCTGTCTGCGGGGGCGGAGTCGATCGAGAGAGAGAGAGAGAGAGAGAGAGAAGAGAGAGCGGCCACATTCCTTTCAGCTCCACCTTCTTTTGGGGGGTCCAAGGGCTGTTTTTTATGAATGAACTGAATACCAACGACAAAAAATGACCCCCTCTTCTCTCTCTCTCTCTCTCACACACTCTCTCTCTCTCTCTCTCTCTCTCTCTCTCTCTCAGCACAAGCCTGAACGTCTAACGCGAAGTGGACAAACTTGTTCCCACTGCTCCTCAGAAAGAGAAAGCCATTCAGAAACGTGGAGAGCAGCAACTGGAGTGGAGAGTAAAGTAACACTGCCCCCTCCACCAACCACCACCACCACCCACCCTGTGTCCAGTTTAGTACAACGCATTTTGTTATTTAGTAGTTTTGTTTCTCATTGTTAATGCAGTCACTGAGTGGACAAGGGGACTGATAGGAAGGGCAGGAGACAGATGATTGTCTCTTAGTTCGCTTAATGTTATTGTTTTTGAGAGAAAAAAAAGCTGAAGGCAGATACATACATATATATATATATATATATATATATATATATATACCCATATACATATACATATGTATATAATGTAGGTTAGAGAGAGAGAGAGAGAGAGAATATAAATAGAGAATATATAGAATATATGTATATATCGCTGCTGATTTACCTTAATGTAAGTCAATGGAACCAGACTTTTTTAAGTAATTTTGAGCCGTTTCTTTTGGTCCATTCATCATGAAATTAATACACAATATAAAGGTCAACAGGTATTTTCAAATTATGTCAAAAAACTGAAAAACGGAGTTACAAGGTTTTGTCTCGACAGCAGCCATATACTACATACATATAATAAGTAAACTAACGGCTGAATATGTGCCCTAACCAACTGCTGATTTCTCATCTCCTTTATGTCTTTCACCACTTTCACCCATCCCTTATATATTTATGTACCTTTTACTGTCATTTGCTCACTTCTCATTCCTGCATTCTGACATAAACTGCTATTACTGTTCCATAAACTGATTTGACTCCAGTTACACTGTTGAAATTCATTTAGTTTATTTATTTAACCAATTTATTTACAATTTATTCTTAGCTAAAAATACATAGTAAAACCTAGATACTATTTCAATTGACTAGCACTAAGTTCTCATCTGATTGCTAATAAAGCCAACTATAGCCTGTATCCTAAACTGAGCAGCCACTGTGGTGAGGATACAGCATGCTGACTGAGCTAGGAATAGTAAGACTGGTCTAAGTAAAAGAATGAGTAATGGTGTTTGAATTTTGCAAGTGTAATCTTTTAATTGTAAACGTTCGCTGTCATAGCTATATCACAGCCTATAGAATGTGTGTTGCATTCCTGTACATCTTGAGTCAAAGTCGCTCTGCAGCGTCTCATACAAAGCTAAACATAGTGGGCTGTTAAATCTTCCAAAACTCTCAAGGTCCAGACTTTGGTGTTCTCATAGCAAGTTATCCCATGATGTAGATAGATGACTAGTTTAAATGAGTTTTAAATGCCCGGTGAGTAAAAGTATCCATTGACTTTGAACACTGAATACATTTGAGTATATTACTACCAAACCCAGCCCTAACTTTAGAGAGCCCGTACTTCACATTTTTACATGACCATTTTAAAGCCTCTCTTTATCCATTACAATTAAACAGACTGTTTTTGTTACTGTTCCTTTAAGACTGAGTTATGTAAATGAGCTGCACTCTAATTGTATTATTCCTCATTCAAAAAGCAGACCAGGCTGCAACACTCCTTATAACTTCAAAGCGAAATGGTGGAGCAAAACTGCTGACTAGGCAGATATATGTAAATGTGCTGTTTGTTGTGACATCACACAAACAATAAATGGACTGTTTTTGCAGTTTAGTGTCCATATATGGACTGTATGGATCGGGGAGTGAATGGTATAGGTTTCATTTTGAATTAAGTTTACATTCTACTTTTTTATGGTGAAATTTCATATTCAGTGATATGGCCCCTTTAAGCTTGGGAACCAAAAGGAAGTCTTTGGCTATTTTATTTGTTCAAGTAAAAAACTGCCCCCCCTCACAGGGCTCAACACACACACACATACACACACTTAGTTGATTGGCTTGGTGATAAACTTTTGTTTGAGTGATTTAACCAGTTAATTCATACATTTCATTATATTCTGTAATATTTAGACAACCCATTCCAGCTTATTCCACGCTCATACGGTTCAAGTCCAGCCCGGCCGCCTGCTCGTGCTGGCGGTTGCGCGGTGTGTCGCTCCTCGCGGGCAGATCGTGGGAAAGCGGCTGCACGTAAAGGCCGTTTTTTTCCTCCTGGCCGCTGTTGTTCTTGTGTAATTGATCTCACTGCATGTCGATGGGCGGAAACTTCAAAGCTCGGAGGCCTGCTGGAGCTGGAGGCCCGTGCGCAGGCGCGGGAACGGGGGCGCGCTTGCAGCCGCCATCACGCGGCCTGCGCGCTCTCGCATTCCGTATAGGGAAGAACAGACTGGAGTTAAAGCACAGCAGCATTAATTACAGCTAATTGGGCCACAGTATATAAAACATACCCAGCAGACAGAACTACTCTGATACATCTGACTGTGTTAGCCATGCGGGCAGTTTATATAGGAAGAAAAACGCTTCGCTGTTTTTCATATAGAACAGTTTATATTGTTTGATGGCTTTGGAATTTTAGGGCTGCAAGGCACGAGACTCTATACGGTCCAGTGGAAATGAAGATTAATTTAAAGCGTGATAAAGTTGTCCGGCTTTAGTTAAAAAAACATATACTGATATGTGATATAAATGATGTGAAGTGTTGAGCTCGCTGGATTCAAACAGGTACATCACTTCAATTAGAATAAAACATTAAATCAACGCGATTATTATTATATATATTTTTAAGTACTGTAAACTGAAATGCTCCTATGTAATATTTTTTATTGATCTGAAAATGACATCGAAGAAAAAAACCCAACACTTTTTTCAGTGCACTTCAAAACGATAAGCCTAATATTACAGACAGAATTATTGGAATATATTTTAACTGTGTACGTTTCTGGAACGAGTTGTATGAAAACGGTCACTCAAGTGGACCCTCTGTAGTCCAGAGCGCTATGAGCAGGCGGTGTAAAGGAGCGCGGTAATTGTGAAAGTGGCTTTTTCTCTCCGTGTCTCTTTAACCCCGCTGGACGGGCTCCACTAACAAGAATGGTGCAAGACACGTGAGTTTGGCTCGCTGTGCTCTCTCCTCTTAGCGCCGCAGAATTTCTCATGTTTTCTATGGCAGCCGTCCAGTTCTTCTCTCTCTCTCTCTCTCTCTCTCTTTTTGCACCTCTTTGTGCCCCCTGTCTCCCCCCTCTCCTCTCCATGTTATCCACCCACGGGGAAAAGTGATTTTGGTCTCTTTCTTCTGGTGTTTAATGTATAAATACATCCACAGCTCAGCCTCGTCCACTCACTGCGCTTATTTCCATGTGGGCAGCGAGGGCAGAGTTTCTTGCGCGCTTTATTTATTTGTATTTATTTATTTTCCTCTAATGAGTCAGTGTACAGACCGTCTGAGCCCTGCAGACCGCTGGCTGAAGCCTCTGTCCGTCTGTCCGTCCGAGCGCGCGCCCGAGCCTCCGAGAGGAATCTTTCGTTAGGGCTCACGCTCTGCACTGAAATCGCCATCGATTACGAGCTGATTTTTACTACTAAATCCACCCCCATCCAACCCACTTCTCAACAGGACGCTCTCTCTCTGTCTCTCTCTCTCTCTCTCTCTCTCTCTCTCTCTCTCTCTCTCACACACACACACACACTCACTCATTCTTTTTTCCTCCTCTGTGCCAAATAGGCTAGCCTGCTCAACCGGGCAGCACGTGCTTTCTTCACTCACTTTGCATCCCACCTCACCTGAACTTTTTTTTCTTTCCTAAATTATCTTTTGTTTTTTGTTTTTTTTTTTCACCCACAGCACACCCCCTCACCACCTTCCTCCTCCTCCTTCACCACCACCACCTCCTCCTCCTCCTCCTCCTCCACCTCCTCCTCTCTCGTATTCCGCCAGCAGGACGTCCGGTGCTGCGCGAGTCATAGCCCGTGCTGCGGGGAACGGACGGACGGCGCACGAGGGGATTTCTTGCACCCGCTTCGCTCCCAGGTCACGAGATGAGCGCGCGCGGAGAGGAAGGCGGCGGCAGCGAAGAGGCTTCTGGCTCTCAGGAGCAGCCCGGCCCTGCAGAGCCTCCCAAGAGGGGACCCGGCAGACCGAGGAAGCCGCAGCAGGTCAGTGGAGCTCGAGCTTTTTTCGGGGTTTGATTTCTGCTGCACGCGGTCTGCGCGCGTCTGTTTACACGCGCCTGGATTCGTAGCGTTCTTACGTGCAAAGCGCGTCTCGGCTTGCAATGCATTCACGAGGAAAGTGCACGCCGCGCGACGTATAGGCTTTCGGTTAGCGCGCGCCGGTTGCCGTTTAGAGCCATTTTAACTTTTCTTTTTTTTTAAAAGCTTTATGCACGCGCGGTACTTTCCGAAAAAAAAACGCCCAAAACGTGCAGACGTGAGCTCCTGTCGCGCTCGCGCACGCTGCCGCCGTTCAGCAGTGCAGCGCCGCTGCGAATAAACCGACGAGCTCGTGCGCGGCGCTGGGGGAACGGCGCGCGGGATGGCGGTGCGGGGCGAGCTGCGTGTTTCCTACCGGGTCTTTTTTTAGCAAACTGTGTGGATTTTGAGTAACTTCGTTACTGCAGCGCCTGCGACCCCTGTGACCAAAGCGCGACCTCTCGCTCCGTAACGGCTTCAGCAGACCTGTTGAACGCGCGTTCGCCGCTGATAGGAGCTGAAGCCCGCTAAGCTCTGCCAGCGCAGAGAGGCTGAACATGCAGTCTGGGTTCGTACTAGCAACGCTGGGAGAAACGCCGGCTTAAAAAGACTCGACTGACCGTCGTAAGGAAGAACAGAGTGAATCAGGCTTTCACTCGTGATTGCAAACCGCCTGCACGAGATGGTGGAAGGATGAGGAGCCGACAGTGCAGAAACGAGCGCGTGAAAAAACTCGACCAATTAAAACAATGCAAATGCAGAGACAATAGCATTTCTTATTATACTTAGATTTAATCTGTAATACAGACGTGAGCATCGTGGATGATCTGCAGCAATGATATTGAACAGACTACTATGTGTAGTATCATATTTAGTTGAATTTGGAAATGGAAAATAACAATTTACTTAATATTTAAGTTAATAATTGACTTAATTGACATGCTTTCAACTAGGCTTGGATAAATGTGCAGAATACAATTTTCGGTCTCACTTTATTTGGACAGTCCACTATAGTCCCCTATAGATTGTCTACAGATGTTCAAATTGTTAACAAACTGTCTGTTGAAGCGCAGTTGATTCAAAACAGTGGTGGGTTTAGGGTTAGGATTTGCACCAGGGTTAGGGTTGGATTTAGGTTTTGGGTTGAGGGTAAGGTTAGGGTTAGAGCCATGTCTAGAGTTAGGTAGGGTTAGGATTAGAGCCATGTCTAGAGTTAAAGAAAATTATTGTCAATTTAGTAGATATTTAGTTGATTGTAACTTGAAAGTAAATTAAGTATCTACAAAGCATCTAAAGTGGACCGTTCAAATAAAGTGTTACCTAATTTTCTCTTATAAATAGAAAACATGATCACTAGGCAAAATAAGTATATAAACAAGGTGAAAAAATAAATATGTTCTGCACATTTGTCCATTGCCACCAAGCCTAGCTGAAAGCAAGTCAATTAAGTCAATTATTAAATTAAATATGAAGTTAATTCTAAACACTTCGTGTATAATACTATTGTCTTTTGGACTGCTAATGTATTTATATGAGAAACAATCCCATATTATTACTTACTGGTTATTCTTATTTATTCATAAATGAACTTTGACTACACTCACGCATACAACCCCCTCTTCAGACACGTGTGCAAAACCTTTGTCCGTCTCTTTGGTCTTGATTCATAAATAGGAGAGCTCTGGTTAAATGAGTGCATTGTTGAAAAAAAAAAGGGCCATGTCTTCTCTGGCCTGGCCTGGCCTGGCCTGGCCTGGCCTGGGTTGGGTTGGGTTGAGTAGTGGGCAGGGGAGAGCAGGGTGCTTGTTGTTGGGGGTGGCTTTGTTTCCTGTCCTCACAGTCCTGCGTTCACCTTCTCTTCTCCTCAGGAACCCACGGGCGAGCCTGTCCCCAAACGACCGAGGGGCCGCCCCAAAGGAAGCAAGAACAAGGGCCCCTCCAAAGCAGCGCAGAAGGTGAGAAGCAGACTACTGCTGCACACCTCCACAGCCTCGCAAAACACACATGCATCAGCTCCTGTGGCACCTCATTCACCGCCGGTTAAGTGTGAAAACACAACACGCTGTTTTTTCCTCTCGTGCATTCATGTTTTCGTGCGTGCTGTGTCCTGATGTGCCTCACTTGGCTTTATTGATAAAGAAGAATGAATGACTTGACTTTTGTAAGGGCTTTTGTAAATCAGACAGTACTCGCAACTGAAGTTTAAAGGCATGTGGGAAATGTTAACAAGCTGTTCATGTATGTGTGTGGTATGGGAACGTCTCAGTTGGAAAGCTTCAGTGGCATGTTTACAGGTGGGCAGAGGACTCAGTCCAGTGTGCAGTGAGCTGCGTCCACCTTTGCATGTTTCATCATGCAGCCCTACGTACCTGATGCACCCCACCAGACATACATTTCATACATACATGTAAACATGAATATACACCCAGTTTGCTGTTGCGTCTCCAGTGCCACAGTTTATGACTTGATATCATTTTAAAAAACGCTTTACTGAAGGGCAGCATTTATAAGGCTGCATGACACCTTCATGAGCCTTTCAACTGACATAAGCCTACATTTACAAAGGCATATTCTAACAAGCGTCAATAATAATACAGGCCTTTGTCAATTCTGATGCAGTTTCACCTCAGCAAGTGTTATTTCAATGCTTGTTGGAATAAGCCTTTATAAATGTCTGTACATGTTTATGTCAGGTGCCATAAAGGGATTATGTTGGAATTGTATAGCCTTATAAAGGTTGCCCTTCAGTAAAGTGTTACCAAAAAGGCCTATGATCTTAAAAATAACAGTGCCAAGCAGGCTTCTTTGGATGCCACGGAACCACTTTCAGTTGAGTGGGTTCAGTTACGTTTTTTTAAAGAACTTTCCACTGAAAGGTCCTTTAGGGAATCCAAAAGTGGTTCTTCTGTGGCATCAATCCAAAGAACGCTTTGTCACCTTTATTTTTAATCAATCATTTTTAAAGTCACTTGGTGTTAAAATCGCACCAAGACCTCTAAAAGCAGAATCAGCTCTCTAGGGCAGCCACTGATGAAGTCATTAACATTTCCCTCTTTTTTTGCCTGTGTGGTCTGATCTGGACTGTTGTAAGTGGGAAGTTCCCCCCCGACATCAACTGCAATCTTTGGTTTAAAAGTATTAGTGTGTGATTCTCATCTGCAAGCCATGGGGGGAGTTTGGATGTCTTCATTTATCTGCTGGTGGTAGGAGAGGGGTGGGGTGGTGGGATCAGCCTCTGTTAATGACTCGCTGACAGCTCGGCTTGCTCTCTTCCGCATTAAGGTACCACTGTAAACAGTCACGGGCCCGCTTTTGAAAAGCCCAAGCACTTTTCTGCCACCATAATCCTGTTTCATCTCATTTGGCGTTGTTATGATAAACAGTGCGTAGATAAATCTGCTAAGATGAAAGGAGTCGAAATCGCCAAGGCGCCTGACTAGGAACACTTTTCACAAGGTTTGCTCTCCCACCCCGAATCAATCATCCTCATCGGCTCCTACCGCTTTAATGATTGAACTGAAGTGTTCGTCCCCGGGTTTAAAAGCACTGCTCCTCGCTCTGACCCCCAAACTGTTGCCCAAACTCTGCTGGCTAAACCAAACAGAGGAGAGACTCAACCTGGGGGATTCTTAAGCGTAGTTAAGGGCCTGATATGTGTAAAGGAACATAGACTGACATGAGCACCCAGTGATCTTCTATATGAAACTCTGTGTATGATCAAGCCATTGATTCTTTGAAGATTTCACTATGGACGTATTTGTGCCACTGCAACATAGTTAAAACTTGTTTGAGACTGTTAATCTTTCAGAAAGATTTGAATCCAAATTACTACTATTTAAAAATAAGAGTACCAAAAAGATTCTTTGGAGTGATGCTAAAGAAGAACCAGTTTTGATTCCATTTAGAACCTTTCAATAGATGGTTCTCAATTGAACCCACCAAACTGAAACGTTATTTAGGGAAACAATAATGGTGCTATGATGGCGCTCCAGAGATTCCTTTTTGGCACTATTAGTTTAACGAGTTTATTTACAATTTGCCCTCCAGACCTTTAGAACGATTCGAATCAAAAATAGTTCTTCAACTGCTTCTTAAAGACTTTAAGTATAAAGTCACCTAAAAGGATTCTTTGGATGCTGTAGAAGAACCATGTTTGATTCCCTTAAGAACCCCAATGGATGTACCTTTAAAAAATGCAGCTGATACCACTCAATTGAAAGGTTCTTGAGGGAACCAAGAATGGTTCCTTTATGACATTACTCCAAAGAACCCTTTTTGCAACTTTATTTTTAATAGTCTAATTATGATTTGAATCTAGTCTTTTATAAAGACTTGAATCCATCTTTGCATTTGTCTAAAACGCAGTTGCCTTCCTCCAGTAGCCCTGCCATTCACAGCTCTTAATTACCAAAGTACTGCTCCAAAATATAGACTGTATCATATGAACAGGCCAGGCTAAATCTGGAAGGATGACCTGGCTGGTTGTTAACACAGTCTTATCCACGTTCAGAAAGCCAGCAGTTACCACACACTCTGATCATCTGCTCAATACATTGGCCCCTAATGAAGAGCTGGAATATTTTCCATAGAGCGGTCATTGTTGAACTTGATACAATGGACTCGGGGGCTAATTTTAAACCCTCCCTTCACAAAATGGGGTCTGGCAGGGCAAGTCCAGCTCGCTCTGCCTCTCCCCCCAACAACCTCTGCACCCTTAATGAGCAATAGTCCCTCTCCTTCACAAACGCATGCCATTGTGTCCTCGTGTCAGAGTGGGGTGAGTGAGTGCGTAGAGATCTGCTCGAAGCTGGCCGCTAGGCGTGCGCATGAAGTAGGCACAAGGCTGGGCTGCAGGGCTGGACGAGACACGCAGAAGCAGCTATGATTAATTGATCAAGGGGTAGGTTTACAGACCATTAAATATCCTGATTAAAAATGCAGCATCCCAAACCAAGAGCTGGGTAAGGAGACACAGATTGGCCAGAGAGAGACACATGCAGAAAGACAGACAGGGACGGACGCATGGAGGGACGAACAAAAAAGGCAAAGAGAGGCCTAAGGCCTGTTGGTGACCCAATGACTACCTTCTTGGGTTAAGGTTCGAACTGAAGAATACAGTTAACAGCTGATGATAAATGATAAATCATAAAATGAGACTAGCCATCCTCTGGCTTCAGAATTTGATATGCCATGTCTAAAGCATGCAAGTTGTATGAGTTAGCGAAGCGGTCAGATGTGAAGTGAAGCGTTAAGGTGATTGGCAGTTGCAGTCAGACCAGGGATGAGCCCGAGGAGGCTGTCTCCTCTCTCGAAGCTCAGCCATGGTGATTCCCGTGACACTCAGGTTAATGTTTCGCCTGCGCGGCTGGGCCTTTGCTGAGGACTGGGATAAAGCGTCCTTGGGGTATTTAAAACAAACTGCGGTTGTTGGAGGAGCGGTAACGCGAGTCGCCATAATGCTACCCTTACACAGTCAGAGAAAGAATACCGAAGCACGCAGGGCTGAACCCGTCACATACAACATTGATCACTCTTTACACTATTTGTTCACGCTGTCCGATAGACTAGGAGGAATGTATAAAATGTTGCCACTTTTAAAAGATTCAGAGTTGAACCTCCTCTTATTTCATTCAGTCATGTTGTAAGCTTCATGAACAGAGTGATACTGTTCTGGTCTGACCACAGAAAGTGGCCACCACTGTGGAATGTATTTAAAGCAGCACTGTATAAGATTCCTTTGTTCAAATTGAAAGAAGTAGCATAACTTAGTCAACTAAAATATGGTGTCCATGCACTGCTATGAGTGACCGTGTAAAGCCTGAAATAGTAATTTAGGTGTCGGGTTGAATTTCGCAGGAGTTTTTCAGGTCACGTTATACGTCTTTACATGTTAACATCGCGCACACACAGGCTCAAAAAGAAGCTCCAGCTCAATGTTTAGATCTCAAATGCAAAATCAACAGTATACTGATGAAGATATGATGATGATAACAAGTGTTGACAAAGTTCTCCTTAAATACTCTTTTTAATGTGCTCACAATCCTCAGATTCTTTTATTTCACAAAATATCTTCCACATGTTGCGTGCAGTGATGCATTTCCACCAGAGAGAAACTTACATGATGTAGCTTTAAGAAATCTACATAAGTAAGCCCTGAGTACCTTCAGTATTGGTTTGTACCTTTCCAGATTTGGTGTACTGCTCACATCGGTGCGCCATCTTTGACACCTGTCCTTCCTCAGTCGTTCGCAGAATTCATAGATGTTTGATGATTTGGATAAGGTTTCTTGCAGGGCTGTGAATGACAAAAGGCTGCAGCCAGCGAGAGCACTTTATATCCTATCAATTATTGACATGCGTCTTGTCTTGTTAATTGTCTTCAACTGCGACAGCAGGGCACATATTCGCAGCTTTACAAGTCACCTAACAGGGTAAGAGCCTTCTGGCTCCAAAGAACAGTTTCAGCTCAGCTAACAGAGTGGAAGACTTTCACATCATAGAAGCTGCTACCAATATCATTTATCCAATCCACAAAGTCAGAAGGGTGCGGCTCTATAGTTTTCTGTTGTAGTATGAAACTCAAATTAGATTATTCAGCCTTAAAAAACAACACGAGAGCGGTAGGTATTCAGTGTTGCATTTCAGTACATCCTATAAACACAAGCTAAATATTTCTTTCTCCTGCTGAAATTTCTCACAAGCTTAGGTCGAACATCTGAGGCAAAACGAGATGAGACAATTAAACCTCATGCTTATATCAACTTTAAACTGATGAAAGAAATCTCAGAAATCCTAGATATTCCATATCAGTGCCTGGCCATTACTGAGTGGTCCATAGTGTGATCCAAACCCCATAACTGTCCGTCACGCTCCTTATCTGGACCGTGGGCCTGCTGATAATGGTCCTCTCATTTACACGTGAATGGCATAAAATTCCTCCAGTGAAATATTATGCTGCCCAGGCTGGGAAAAAACCTCTGTGCACTCACAGCAACATAGACAGCTCCTTGTCAGAGGCCTGGATATACCTTACACAGCCAAGCACCAGTTGGTGCTGCTCGGCTAAAAGACAAGAAGCCCCCTATTCACTGTCCTTCTGTAAAATGTTCAGTACAATGTGGAACGTCAAGCTAAACTTGGTTTCTGGCATGTTATGCATATTGGTACTTGATAAAAATGAATGGCGCTAATTCGTATTTGTTGATGTTCACAGAAAGCTGAGACCACAGGGGAGAAGAGACCCAGAGGAAGACCAAGGAAATGGGTAGGCTCTTCTTTTACCATCTCTAATTTAACTGTACAGCAGACAACAGTAATCAGAGAGCAATTGCCAAAAAAGTTGTGCTCATATCAAATGAGCTCACTAACAATAAAAATTAAACCAAGAATTGTGTTTGGTTACACTCTTTCTGAATGGTTCTTGGCCGAAATGGATGGTTCAGGGACAAATCTTTATGCTATTATGCTCATCTGATTTACAAAAATGGTCTTTTTTAAAGAACAATCCATTGAAAGGTTATTTAGAACTTTTAGCACCTTTATTTTTACGAGTGTACCAACCAAAAACAGCCTTCACAAAGTCTGAGCGAAGACTTTTCATGAATAGTTCATAATAGTTTATAAATATCACAGCTGATTCCGTACTCAGAATCACAGCATACCTATTTCTCTAGTTATTATAGTTTGTTTTGAACAACACATTAAATGTAATATAAACTTCTTGGTTATCATTAGATTTCAATGGACGCTGGCAGCTATATTGATCATGCGGTTTTAAATACACTATGGGCATGTTCAGGGGCCCAGATTAGACCTAGTCATGGACTAAAAGGATTTTCTTCAATGGGGAATCGCCATCAATCACTGCAATTTAATCCAGGGCTAGGCTTAAGGCTGTGCCTGGGAAAGCACCGCAGACTTTCTACTCAGCCTCACCGCTGCTTGCTTGCTCGTCGCTGTGTGCTTAACGAGATTGTGCAAATGTTTGTGTTATCAGTTAAAGAAAATGTTTAGACTTCACGCTGACCACAGCTACACTTCAGTAATTCCATAGATAGCTTAAAAACCGTGTGTGTTTATCAGCCCGTAAGTGACATGTTTGATTGATGGCCCTGTAGGGAGAGCCGCGGGCAGTTAAAAGTGCCACCAGGAAAACAGTCGCAGATATGAGGGAATGGGAATTTTCTGTAGGCTGAGCGCTCCCTCTCTTTCCCTCTCTCGCTCTCTTTGTGTGTCCTTGTGGTTTTTCTCCTCAGGCCAGCAGACCACCAAACTAACTTGAAAGATTCAGAAGTGTGTAGAAACATGTTTGGTAGGCCTGGGCCTACCCATATTGATCACAGCCCACACAATCAGATAGGAAAAAATCATTTATTAAGCTGCATTTTTCTAAGATAAATTTGTGTTCTGTGACTGCTGTCATTATATTATGGCCGTCATTATATTATATTATGCTGTCATTATATTATATTATTTAAATCATTATGCTCTCCACATCCAATTGACCATGGATGTGCAAGGTATGCTATCCGCCATTGCCTCAAGAAATGTTCTTCAGTTCTTTATCAGTACACCAGTGTTTGAATTTGCTGCTCCACCTGCGATTATATGCTTTTCCCATCCCCAAGAGAGTAGAGTACGTCATTTGCTATTCATTTCCAAAGCCAAAAACAAACTTTAAAAAGTCGTCGACGGTGGTCTGTGAGTTTGGTTTTTTGCTCTTTTACTACAAAAGCTGAAATGGGCTATAGTCAAAATGTCAAAGCAAATGTCTACCTCAATGCAACAAGTCATCATACATGACTGAAGACATAAATTGTCCATGAACACTTTTCACACTGGTTGTGGTAGAATACTTTAGCCTAGGATGATTAGGTTTAGGTTTTAAGTTTGCTGTAATGTTTTTCCTCAACATGTTATCTTCATTGTGCAAAAGTTGTACCTGTGGTGAGTGGACACATGCTTTATATGCAGTGTTAGTCGTGTTTATGTGAATCTTGGTTTGTCATTGAAGTGTACACAATCTCACTATTATTTTTTATCACTGTAGGGCGGAATCGTTTTAATTGGTAGAGTGATGACTACACTGTTGTCAGTTATAGGCTATGGCCTGATGTTATGACGTTGCAGGATGTAGTGAGTTTGAAAATCACATCTACCAAGTTATCAATGAAATGATTTGTTTGTTACAAACTTGTGTTGAGCAAGTGGGAACTGCTGTGTCAGCAGGATGAGTGTAATGCGCGATGTATCTTCTCACCAGTCGCATCAAGTAGAATGGGGTCGAGTGTGCCTTAAGAAGTATTTCGTCCACTGGCGACTATCATGGGATCCATTGCTGATTATTTCATGTCAGCCTAGAGACATGTTTGCATTTGTCATGTTATGAGGTCACTGTTAAATGAAGATTAAACCATTAAACAAGTATTACAATTTCTCTCCCTGCTGCAGCATTGCAGTCATTTGTGGACAATTGAGCAGTTACATCCCTGCTTGCATTCATATCTATTACAGAAACTTGGACTAGTGAGTTGGAATGATCTATTCTACAGAGAAATGAGTGCATTTGTATTGGAGGAAAACATGACCCGGCTTACTGTATCATCCAGGAATGCGATTTGGGTCACATGTGAGCTGAGCAGATCCAAAACACCCTTCGCTTTCATGTGTCTGGCCACCCCCATTTTAACTAGCATTGTAAAGCACTTCTTAGTATTTGAAAGTCTGTGCATGTGTCATAACTTTAATATGAGTTGAAAAGATGAAGGTGCTTGGCTGTGAGATGTGCTTGTAGGGGGTTACGACTGCTCTCCTCCACCCAACAGCAGAATGGGCGCATGGCGAGGCTGGGGGTGCATTATGAGGATATAACTCTAGCTGTTGCTGCTGACTGTTGCTGGACTCTTTGGACTGGGCTGATAAAGAAGATCCCATTTATTGCGCTGTTTTTCTGGGCCGATGCCCAGAGGCGCGTTCGGCTGCTCTTTCATGGTGCCTGCGTGCCGCAGGTACACACACCTACGCAGTACATCGCCTACTCGCACACATATGCTCTGTCCACCCACACACTGATGTCACTGTCTTGGACAAACAGAGAATGGAGTGCATTACAAATGCTGTTTCTCTCACAGAGAACAGAAAAGAGGTGCAGAAATTGATACGCCAGAATTGAAACCAAACCTGCAAAGAAACTGATCGACTGCAACCACAAAGCGATGACTTTCTACTCTAAATTACAAGAGCGGCCTTTGCTGACAGTGGGTTTTACCTGTAAACTGCAACATTATGAAACAGAGGTCAAATAAAGTTCAGTCTGGGCAAAAGTTAGTCAGTGACCAGAGGTGGGTTGTGGAAGGGTGATGCATCTGACCCCATATCAAAGAGAGCGACAGACTTGCACATTAAATGCGTAAGTGCACATTTGCTGTTTGTTTGGTGAATTTAAGATATTGGAAAAATAAATAAAAGATAAAATGTGTCCTGTGCAAAAATGTTTTTCCCCAATATGTTAAATGTAGCAAATAAATAGTAAAATTAGCAGAAAGATGTCACATTTGAGTTTGCTCCCTGTAGATGATGTGTTAACTCATTTTCACTTAGAAAATCAATGATACATGTGATTTGACTGGCGGTGTTCAAACTTTGGCACAGAAGTGTGTATTATGTATAAGTATATATTATGTGCTGAACTATGGTGTATGCTAAAACTGATTTCTTGTCAAGGTAAAACATCTTAAATCTAGTTAATATTTCACATTTTGAGATTGTTAAAAGAGTGTTATAAGATAATTCAACTTCCAAATGCTTCTTTTTGTTGTCTTGTTCTGTTGTGAACTTGCTTGTTTCGACAAATAATTTTGCTTGTTTTGAGCAAAAAAACCTGAATGGAATAACATATTTTCACTAGATAAAATGTGTAATAAAGGTAAAAAATATTAGAAATAAGTTAAATAGTCTTATAATAGTCTATTATAAATAGTAGACTATTATAAATAGTCTATATATTAGCTACATTGACCAGATTCAAGATGTATTCATCTGCCAAGACATACTCTTTTGCAGTAAGGAAGTAGTAGAGGAGTTGTCCTCCATTGAGACAGGCCAGTGTTGTAGGACTTTTAAAACCTCCTGTGACACAGAGTGAGCTGTGCTGTGGAAGGTTCTCTGATGTGTCGGCAGTGAGTTTATGAATGAGAGTGAGTCAGAGAGGCAGCGTGCTGTAGGAGCATGACAGTTTCCTCACCGACAGCTCTGCAAGTCCAAGGCCTGCATTTGCGGATGGGTGCCATTTATCCAAGCGCCGTGACGCACACCAGGAATCGCCCATTAACTCAACCAGTGCGGTCAGGGGCAGAGCACCGAGTTTGTTTTTTTGTTTTTTTTCCTTCTCTTTTTTCTATGAATGAACTGAGCAAATGCGTGTCCGCAGGCCCGTCCTCATGTATGGGTGACTTTGTGTGCCCTTGAAAGCCTAGGTTATGGTCTGTTTGGTAGCTTTAGTTTGTCACAGATGAATTGGCGTGGCCCAGGAGTCTACCATAGCCACACGGCCGCCTCTGCGTATACAGGGTGGACTTGTCAAGAGCCTTGCCGTTCCTTTCCTGGATAAACAAGCCAGCTTTCTTCATTCAGCTACCGCTCGCCCTCCTGGAACTAATTATAGCATATCCTTTTTGGCTACAAGGGGCCACTGGAATGTTTTCCTTCGCCTCACCCCCCACCAACCATCCCCAACCCCCCTAAATGGTTAATGGAAGAAGGTGACTCTGGCCACCGGGAGGGAAAGAAAGTAGTGTTTATCCATATCTATCCCCAGAGGAAACAGAGAGTGCGCATGTAACAAGTCTCGCCAGAAAGTTAAAAACATTTTGAAATGGAAAATCATAAAGGGACCCCTACCAGCTGTTTTTTTGCTGTCCACTGTCCTCCCTTTGTAACATGCTTAATTTTGTTTGGACCACTGTTTAAGCCTCTATAGCTGCTTCTCCCTGAAACCTTAAACATGAAATATCCTTGTTTCAAAAGGGTGGAGATATGCCAGAGGTAAAGTCCTGGACTGGTCATCTGGATATAGAACGAAAATTTAACATCAAGTCATTATGATTTTTCACAATTATTTGCCTAAAACAATGCACATAATAATATCACTACAGCACTTCAAAAGAATGTAGGAACTAAAAAAAGTGTGTGCAAAAAGGTTAGTGTGAATAAACTTCAATGGTTTCGGACACAAACAGTGAACTTGATGAACGTCTATTGGTGTTT